CAGCTTCCGGGTCATGTGGCCAGCATGACTAAGCCCCTTCTGGCGAACCAGAGCAGCGCACGGAAACACCGTTTACCTTCCCGCTGCAGCAGTACCTATTTATCTACTTGCACTTTGACGTGCTTTCGAACTGCTAGGTGGGCAGGAGCTGGGAGCGAGCAATGGGAGCTCACCCCGTTGCAGGGATTCGAACCACTGACCTTCTGATTGGCAAGTCCTAGGCTTTGTGGTTTAACCCACAGCGCCACCCGCGTCCCATGCTATAAAGTGTATCTGATGTCAATAAGCACTTTGGACTCCAGATCACACAGTTTTAGCTTCCTTTTAGATTCCCAATGTGGGGGCACTATTATGTTTTTTTGGGGGGTGAGGGTCTTACAGGGCAATCCTATGCCTTTCTGCTCTGAAGTAAGTCTAATGAGATGTAGTGGTACCTTGGTTCTCAAACGCCTTGGTACTTGAACAACTTGGAACCAGAATGCTGCAAACCCAGAAGTAAGTGTTCCGGTTTGCAAACCTTTTTCGGAAGCCAAACATGCTCCGTTTTGAGTGTTTCACTTCCAATTTGAATATTACGCTGAGGTTTGTCTGTTTTTGCTATTTCTTCTGCATTTTTATTTTTGTGGTTTTTTGTTTTGTTTTTGTGACTGTGTGGAACCCAGTTCAGCTATTGATTGATTGATTGATTGATTGATTGTGTGACTGCAGTACAGTGGTACCTCGGGATGCGAACAGGATCCGTTCTGTAGCCCCGTTCGCATCCTGAAGCGAACGTAACCCGTGTCCACATGTCTACGCGTGCGTGGGTCACGTTTCGGCGCTTCTGCGCATGTGCGTGACGTCATTTTGACAGTCTGCGCATGCATGTGCGGCGAAACCCGGAAGTAACACGCTCCGTTACTTCCGGGTCGCCACGGAGCGCAACCCGAAAATGCCTAACCTGAAGCGTATTCATCCCGAGGTATGACTGTACATTGTTTATTGCTTTCATTTCATGGATCAACGGTCTTGTTAGATAGCAAAATTCATGTTAAATTGCTGTTTCAGGGGTTGTTTTTAAAAGTCTGGAACGGATTAATCCATTTTGCATTACTTTCTATGGGAAAGCGCGCCTTGGTTTTGGAACACTTTGGTTTTAGAACGGACTTCTGGAACGGATTACATTTGAGAACCAAGGTACCATTGTATACCCTGATAAAAACATGCATAGGATGTCAGCCAACTTATATTTATTGTTATTTATTAAATCTGCATACCACAATTCATCCGAAGATCACAGGGCAGTTCACAAAATGAGAACACAAAATACGTAATACAAACAAAAACAAGGCAATAACCCCACTCCTACAAACTTACCCAGGAGTAAGCCTCATTAAATTCAATGGGACTTACTTCTGAGTAGATATGCATAGGCTTGCACTGTCCTGTTAAATTTCTCATACCACTGTTTATCTTCAATGCACTTTCAATTCTCGTCAGTGTATTTTCTCATCACAGAGGCCAAAGATGGTTAACATGCAGCTTGGCACTGTTCCAAAACTTTCCTTAAGTATGCTACAACTAACCTGAACACTAAGGACAGCTTAGCAACTACTCCACGGATCACACAAAGGAGGTATGTTTCCTCTTGAACATAAGCTGCTTTAGACTGCAACCCTAACTTCCCCTCTTACCTGGCAGTAAGCCCCACTGAATCCAATACTTCTGAATGGACGTGATTGGGATGCCGCCGTCACTCTCAATTAAAAGGGAAAACATGGCACACAATGACCTTGGCAAAATTTAAAAACAATGCACAAACATTTATAGGTACATGTTTATCATTTGGAAACTGGTGGGAGTGCAGACCCAAGAATGCACGTTCTCGACTTCTTGAAGTTCGCCCACACAAAACCTTCTCTCAAAGAGAAACGGTAAAAGTACGGATGCACACACACGTAATGCAATCACTGATTTGGAATCCAGAAAAGGGATACTGATTTTGAAAGATTAAAGCTGAGGCTGGATTATTATTTTTTTACTAAAATGCTCACCTTCTCCCCCATTCCCACACAAAAATATTCAGGAACCCTGGATTCATTATTTTATTAGTAATAAATAAGAATTCTGCCAGGAAAACCAAAATTCTGCTTGATAATGAAACAGAACACCAATATGATTCATTTAGTAACTCAGGCTTGGTTCTCCCACCCCCATCCTCTGGTTAAACGTCTTTCTATAGTTAGGCTGAACGGAACACTCACATTCCACCAAATGCATTAATTGGCAATAAATCCCTTTGGGTCATTATACCAATCATATCCAAAATTCAGCTGCACAAAGAATACACTAGCTAAGCCAGCAAATATTATTCATGTGATAATCATTGCACATTACAGGCATCGCCGTAGTTTCGGTTCATTGAACAGCTAGTAGCATAAGCTTAATTTTTGCACAACGCTGCGATAATTACATGGTATGCTTGCTGTTATTTCCTACAATCTAACAAAACTATAATGAACATTTTACTGTACAGCTAGATGAGTAACCCTCTTGTTTTTGTTTACAATCCATCCTAAGGAGTTTTGTGAATGTGAAACATCTGAATGGCGAGAAGGATGTGGTATTTTGAGCAGAAGGGAAGGAAAGAAAAGTAAGAAAGTTATGGGGTGCTATGGAAAAGATCCCCAGCTTATACAGAACATCACAGTTTAAAAACACTGCCTTGGAGGTTGCAATCCTATCCCCGCTTACCTTGAAATAAACCCCACTGAATCATTGGGGCCTACTTCTGAGTAGACGTGGTTAGGATTGTAATGTTAGTTATTGTACAACCTTGACCCAATGGAAAAGGAATTCAATCAGTTAAGCACCTTGAGAACCAGTAGCCGATTTCTGTTTTGCAGCCTAGTACCTGCTATGATAAAGGGACATGGGTGGCGTTGTGGGTTTAAACCACAGAGCCTAGAACTTGCCGATCAGAAGGTCAGCAGTTCGAATCCCCGCAAGGGGGTGAGCTCATGTTGCGCGGTTCCTGCTCCTGCCAACCTAGCAGCTTGAAAGCACAAAGTGCAAGTAGATAAATAGGTACCGCTCCGGTAGGAAGGTAAATGGCATTTCCGTGCACTGCTCTGGTTTGCCAGAAGTGGCTTAGTCATCCTGGCCACATGACCTGGAAGCTGTACGCCGGCTCCCTCGGCCAATAAAGCGAGATGAGCGCTGCAACCCAAGAGTCGGTCACAACTGTACCTAATGGCCAGGGGTCCCTTTACCCTTTACCTACCTGCTGTGATTCTTGCACAGCAATGCATAAGGGGTTTGATCCTGGCACTGCTGCGTGCTACACCAGAAACTCCCTACCTGCTAATTTTACGTAGGATACTTGTGCAGCAGGTCAGAACCATTGGTCATATGAGGCATAGTAACAGTAGAAGCATTTGCCCCCTTCACACTTTATAATTGCTTGAAGGGGGTTTGCTGCAAGTAAGGAGGAGCTGGGCTGCACTGCTGCCTCCGATGCTACACAACTTACTTCCACCACCACTCAACATCTATACAATGACTTCTATTTCAGCAAAGCCTTTCTATGTAGGCTTTCAAGGAATCCCGGAAGCCTGATAACGAAGAGTTTACATTCATAGTCTTCCCCACTACACACATCCACACATAAGGGTTGGAGAGCCCATGAGACACTAGGGCCGCCATCCCTTTAATCACGTGAACCTGGTGCTTTCAGATCAAATGGAAGGAGCTTTCCAGCACTAGGACAGCTGAAAAAGAACCAAACATTGACCAATTTCAAGGAAGACATTGAACTTGCTTGTCTAGAGGTAATACACCTTGTGATTGTCAAAGACCGGAAACAAACCATGGGAAGTGGTCAGCCACATTATGCCTTCTGTGTGGACTTTCTGAAAGCATTGGGTTTGACCATGGTAGAAAACAAAATCCTGAACCTTAATCTAATAAAGCAAGGTGATTATTACGTCAAGAGTGCACCCTTGTGCATCACTTGATAGAGGCAAGTTATATGATGGCTCTGAAGAGATAAAGGGTTGTTTGGTGCTAGAAATATATTAAATTGAATTCTACTCAAGTACTTTACCATGCCTTCCTCTTCATTTCAACCCCCTGTGCTTCCTCAAAATCAACTCTTCGGAACTGAGAGACCCTCCAGTACCACCTGGGATGTGATATAGGGGGTGCAGCAGGACTGGGAGAACTGGCAAAACTCAGCGGGAGCAGCGGGAGAGGGCTACCTTACACATGCAGAAGTATCTTTCTATTTTACGGAAGGCTCATTTAGATCCAACTCACACAGCACACATTATTGCACTGTAAGTATAACAGATAAAGGTGATTAAAGACGAAAAAGAAATTGCCCACAGATGCTTCTTCAAGTTGGTCAGTTCACTCCAATCTAAACTACTTTACCAAGGTGGCACAAACCACAATTTGAGCAGATATAACACCAAAGAGGGATGCTATGTCAGGCAAGCAAGCAAGTCAGCATCTTCCATTTTTCCCCCTGCTGATCAACTTTGTTGCATTAAAACTTCCAAAACAGTGTTAAGGTTTAAAGAACTCCAAGATTAGTTCAGCAGTCATACCCTAAGGGCAGCGTGCAACTCATTAAAAAGACAGCAGTACATGTGTCTAAAACCAATTAAAGCACTGATACACTATCTTCTGTTATTTTAGTTTATGCTGAATTTAATTTTGTAAGATAAACAGGTACCATACACTAACCTCAACAAATTCCATGTCCTAACCTCCGAAGACCTGACTTGAGGAGGTATGTCTTCAACTGCCTCTCAAAAGGGTATAGCACTGAGGCAAGGTGTACCGTATTTTTTGCTCTATAAGACGCACTTTTTCCCTCCTAAAAAGTAAGGGGAAATGTGTGTGCGTCTTACGGGGCGAATGCAGGCTGCGCAGCTATCACAGAAGCCAGAACAGCAAGAGGGATCACTGCACAGCGCTCCCTCTAGCTGTTCCAGCTTCTGGCTTAGCCCCTCAGTCCCTTCCCCCACCTCCTGCAAAAGCCCCCAACAGCCGCGCTCCCTTTAAAGAGCCGCGCAGAGTGGGGGCTTTTGCGGGAGGTGGGGGAAGCACCGCACACATGCTCCATGCGGCTCGTGAAAGGGAGCGCTGAGCAGAGCCTGGGATGCATACAGGCTCTGATCAACGCTCCCTTTAAAGATTTTTTTTCTTGCATTCCCCCTCTAAAAACTAGGTGCATCTTATGGCCAGGTGCATCTTATGGAGGGAAAATACGGTATCTTAGTGAGAGGATGTTAGGGTTAGGGTTAGGGTTAGGGTTAGGGTTAGGGTTAGGGTTTGGAGCAGTTACTGAGAAAGCCCTGTGTGCCTGCTCCTCACGGTAGGTCCCCCACCCCATATCCCAAGCACCCATACTGGGCAGCACCCAACACAAAACAGGAGTCTGCAGCAGCGGAGTCTGCAGCAAGCAGATCAGGCGTCTGGGGCGGCACACATTCCCTGCCCCCAGGGGTGGAGCCAGCCACCTGCAGGACGGGGCGAGCTGGGGCAGGACACTCCATGGGGCCTCCGAGGAGTCTGCCTGCCCCCTCCTACTCAGCTGCCCTACAACTGAGGGGGAGGTGGCGGGCAGACCGTTTGGGGCAGCGCGGAGGCTGCGGGTGCCCAAGTCATCACGTCACTCCCAGGAGAGACGTGTGGCTCGGGCACGCTGCAGGCCCCGTGGTGAGTGCCGCCCGCCATTTTGTCACCCCCCTCAATGGTGACATCCGGGACAGCCCACCCCCACCACGTTCACCTTCCTCTGCCCCTGGTCTGCAGCCAGGGGGGAAAAAAGCAAATCCCTGTGTGTTTAGACTGAAGTGCTTTAGAAGAGCACAGGAAGTTTTCCAGACCTCAGCCATGATCTAGTCAGTGTTGAGGCAACAGTCATTGAAAAACTCATCAAGCTGACTGCAGACAACAGCCTCTGAATGTGACATATAAAAACAGAGCTTAAAATGTATAAAGGCAGCTCCAAAATATCTGAAACCGGTCTGCATCTATCAAATTCCCACCTCTAGAAAACTGAGAATGTCACCACCATAGGTGTTTTCATTATTGCTGAATAAACCCAACTTAAGAATTGTATTTTCCATATAGTCCATTACCCCTGTAAGAAATAAGGAAACTACAGTATTTTTCCGTGTTTAAGATTAGGTTTTTTTACCTTAAAAATAATGCCAAAAATTAGGGGACGTCTTATACACGGATACATCTCCCCCCATTTTCTTAAATCTGAGTTCCCCAAAATAGGGGACGACTTATACATGGGGGCGTCTTATAGATGGAAAAATATGGTACATTTCCCATACCAATTTTTTTTAAAAGGAAAAAGGATTTCACATTAGCAAATAGAACACCACTAAAAATGACCAAGTCAACTCACCAAGCTCATTGAGGCTCTGAGCAGCTTTTGTTATCTCTCTGCTTCCTCCCTGTAGCTGGCCTTGAAGTCTCTTGCTGACATACAAGATGCGCATTATTCTCCGCAGCAAGTCACAGGAAGCCTTGATAGGAAACACAGTTTAGGAATATATTCAATATGTTACATTATTATACAGTTGTTAAGTACCAGCTGTGGAAACACAGCACACATTTCTGGCCTGACAATAGGCGTGTATGATCACATTATGGTTCCGTTCATGGTTTGATATCATCTGGAATACACTATCATAAAAACACGCCACAGAGGGTTGTAACTACAAGCTGCTCTGCGGGGATGGAAGGGCATATAGTCACAAATGCACAGTGAGGGAATTCTACAGATAAAGACTGCAATTCTGTTGTGTTAAAACCATGGAGAGTCTTGCTACAGACTTCAAAAAGAAGCAGGCGAAGGCTTAAAATGTGCAAGTCTCTCTTCAAAAAAACCCAACCCAAAGCAATTCTGGAGAGCGGGATCTAATTCTGCATGCAAATTTTCACAAATCAGCACAACAAACACATTATCAATCCTTTTATGCAGGAGCCTGAAGTATACATATATACAGTGTACAAACTTTAAAATGACAGTAATCAAATTTAAATTCAATCTTGGGTTTTTTATTTCCTGAAACCAATTGTTGTAAGTGCCTGGTTTAAAATGATATCTGAATGCAGTGCTAATAAAGTCCCTACTCAAAATCTCTCAAAACAAAATTTACTTATTTCTCCATCAAACATACTGAGTTATAGCCAACTTTCCGCAGAATAAACCAGGGGTATAAATGTGTGGCTTTTGACGTCCAAGTTCATAAATATGAAAAAATAGATCATAAATTTTACCTAAACTGGGAACTCAATGGCATGGACATTTATATCTGGTTTGGATGGAATGCTAAACCATAGTTTAGTTTTACTTTTGCTTCCCATCTCCTCCCCAGCACATCCAACTGCTCCCCAAACCAGAAACTATTTTACGTTTCAGCTAGGTTTATTCCAGGGACAGCCAGACGTTATTAGATTATAACTCCCATCGTTCCTACTGCTGGTTGGGTCTAATAGGAAACGTAGTCCAACAATATCTAGAGGGCCACAGGTTTCTCACAGTTCAAATGAAATTAGAACTAATTCGGGGATGGGGAACCCATGACTCTCCAGATGCCATTAGAATACAATAGCCATCATCCCATAGGCAGCTGGCTGTGGCTGATGAGAGCAACAACATTTTTTTGGTTTGGGTTCCCCAAACCTGAATTAATGCAAGCTGTTTGGTGACCTAAAATGTGTAGAAAGAGAAGCAAACATAAATCCACAACTGCTATTCTACCAATATCTATTCTATGATATGTGAGTGACATGACCACTGGTTAATGGAGTATCATAAAGACTAGATCTAGTTTCAAAGTGTATCTATTCCAATGGTTACTGCATCCAATTAGTACTATGCATGCTTGTTTGGTAAATGAACTAATCGGCGGAAAGCTATTTAAAGTAACCCTTTTTTGTGGGCGATTTAAGTCATGATTTAAACCAATTATTTATATCAATCCACTCTGCGTCACATAAAAATATGCAAATTGGGGAACATTTAATACAGCAGCTGAGTTTCTGCACGCTACAAATATGTATAGGCTCTATGCATCAGAGATACATGGAGAGAAAGTGTGAAGCCACAAGGAAAGAGCCCTTCTCTCCTCCAAGGCCCCTTTATATTATTTATTATTTATTTAATTTATATACCGCCCTATCCCAGAGGTCTCAGGGTTGTTCACAGAACAAAATCAAAATATAAAACCGCAAAATATATAATCAAAATAAAAACAACAACCCAATAACACACCCCTTTATAAGCACACTGAGCCATTTGGCAACTGCCCTGAGATCTGAGAATGAAAGGTGGTATACAAATTTAATAAACAAACAAACAAACAAACAAACTACATCTCTGTTAACACTGTCCCAAATTGCCACAGAAGATGCATGAATACTGCAATCATGTGGGCCGGGCTGATTACATGAGTGCTTCCTATAAAAATCACTATGCTTACTTCTGGCGCAATTGGCCCACCCTCAAGGCTGCAGAATTCACACACCCTTCAGTTGTTTGAGACAGAACTATGGAGAAGAAGCACCCAGAGAGCTTGGTGTGGGAGTGAGCACAAGTGCTTAAATGCTCTACCGATGTTTAATGTGTATTTTCAGCTACCTGATACAGTGGACGCTTGGGTTGCACGTTCGCAACCCTTAGCATTCGCAACCCACGTCTGCGCACGCGCAGATTGCAATTTGGTGGTTCTGCGCATGCGCAAAGAGCGATTTATCGCTTCTACGCATGCACAACTGCCGAAACCCGGAAGTAACCCGTTCCAGTACTTCTGGGTTTCGGCGGTCCGTAACCCAAAAAAACGCAACCTGAAGCGGCTATAACCCGAGGTATGACTGTATACTGAAAGATACGTCTGCAAGTGGACCTACAGAGTGCTGATGACAGCAAAACTCTGCTGGTTTCAGATTCTACATTAGATATTCCACGATATGCAGTATTTTTGTGCATTGAATTAAAGAACACCATCAGTCTTTAACAAACTACAGTGGTACCTCGGGTTACAAACACCTCAGGTTACAGGCTCCACTAACCCAGAAGTAGTACCTCGGGTTAAGAAGTTTACCTCAGGATGAGAACAGAAATAGTGCGCCAGCAGCGTGGCGGCAGCGGGAGGCCACATTAGCTAAAGTGGTACCTCAGGTTAAGAACGGACCTCCAGAACGAATTAAGTTCGTAACCAGAGGTACCACTGTACAATCATGGTCCTAAAACATTCAAAGGTGAACAGCCTATTAGAACAAGTGATTAGAAATCTGATGCCTTGGTAGGATTTGTGGTCTAGACGAGGCAACTTTCGGTAAAGCACAAGTCTCATATGTTTAAAAAAAAAACCCCTGAAATTACATCTGAGCTCTGTGCTTCATCTAAAGTTGCCTAGTGACAAATATTCCCTTCAATTTCATAACAGTTCTATATTATATAACATGCACTTCCGACATTTTGACTGTTAATGTAATCTGTTGAGAGCACTATCTATGCTGCTGGAAGATGGGGAAAAAAGAGGCATGTGCAGATTTTTAAATATATTTTCACACAACCCAAAATGTTATTTTAACTCATTATAGACACAGCCTGGAATATGGTTAACTGACATAAGCTCTTAATCACTACACAGTTCGAGCACAGTAAAACGCCTGCAATTTCAGGGGAAAATACGTATTACAATTTTCAGGAGTTCTAGAAGTGACAAAACATGTCAAAGAGTAGATCAAGCAAAACCTAAATGTTAGGGCAATTGTCTAGAGAAGAGCTTTGGGGGCTGCTGCAGCTGAGTGGCTAAATTAAAACAGAGAGTGTGTTATGCTGGTTATAAAAGCTGCGAATTATTCTGTTAAATCCAAGTAAGCATATAGTCAAGCTTTGCTACCCCTGCACCACCAAAGAGCATCTATCAATGTCAACTCAGCACAATATCTATTGGGTTCAATGCTCAAGAGGCCTGTAATTTTTTTAATTTTTTTTTAAGCCAACAGGAAACAGAATCTGAATTCTGCTCTATGAAGGTAACTATGGTTTTGTGCACGAGGGACAGAAAAGCACCG